GCCTTCCTTGTGGTTGCTTCACTCACAAAAATGATAGAAGGAATAGGAAGCAAATCAAGAGGCATAAGTGGATTAAATCCATAAACAACTTCGAGAGGAGAATAATGATGTTAGTTAAAACCTGATTTTTCCTTATTTAGATTTACACGATTAAATTCATTCTCCGTTTCACCATTTGACAAACACGTCGATTAACTAAGTTTTAGACTGCAATTTAGTAGGTAGTGGCGCAGATTCAGTTGGCCACTCTCCATCCTAATTTTTAGGATAGGTTATATTTAAATAGGAAATCGGTTCACAATATTTTCACCACCTGAATTAAAGGGGCAGTCAAAATTTCACCATTCTCTCTCTTTCTTATTTTACGCATTTTAATTTTTCTTCCAACGACCTGTTGTCGACAATTTTCTCTCACCGAAAACAAAGGATTTCCCGGCCGATTATTGAAATCCAACAAATGAGTGGTAATATAAATTGCTCTATTATATGCAAACTCTGCAAACTGAATTGCTCTATTGATTTGGTATAGATTTCGTTTGTAAGGACCTCACACTCTCGGATCTGGAGAAGCTCGAAAGTCCACCGTTCTGTCTTCCTTGCCGACGGTGTTCAGTGTAAGGGATTCGTCTAAAACCTACTCCTGATGTGTGTAAAGGGTTCTGGGATTACTTTTGTGGTATAAAATGGGGGTTTTGACGTCGATTCGTATGGTTCGGCTTCGCTGGAGTTCTGTCGATTTTCTGTTCCTTCTCGTTTTTCACTGTTTTCGTTACTTTGCAGGTTCTTTCAGGGTGGCTAAAGGTCGGGGACGCAATTGTGGCATCCCAGCCCTTGGCCGCCCTTTGTGGGTCGTGTGCGAGCGAAAACTCCAGCGTTCGCCGAAGTTTTTGGCTCTGCCGACGACCCTCACCCTTATCCTTAAATTTGTATGGGTGAGAGTGGCCGAAGTTCACCGATTCAATAAGCCTCCCATTTCAGGGGTAAGATTTGGTGAATAGTTAGGGACATGGGGTGCAAGATGGAATTCACTCCTACCCGCTTTTAGGGACAGTAGAGAAGTTGTTCCTTTAAGTACTGACTCTAGGTCTTGAACAAGGGGCCCCACCCTCTCATTAGCCAGAGAGGGATTCGGTTTAGTAGTTGGACCACAAACAAATTGCTCATTAGAGGATGAGTGAGACTTAAAGAACACGATTTGTGTTTTATGAATCTTCCCATTTCAGGTTGTGACAAATTTAGATAGGGACAATACTCAATTATGTAGGAACAGGTTAATTAACACACGTTCCATGTTTTTCAAATTGTTTTAAAGGTGACTAATATTTATTAAGTTTCTATGGAGAATATGAGAGTTAAAATTCTTGCATATCACACTGAATGCTTAAAAAATGCATACTAAATAGATGTTGTCTATTAAAACAATTGTAAGTTATGCAATTTTATAAAGAAAATTATTTTTTTCTTCAATCAAATAGTTATAGTTAAATTATGGATTTTAATCATATTTAAATAAATGAACATACAAGACTATTTATTTGATGCTAGGTGACAAACAAAATTACGAAAACCACTCTTGTATCATCAAACCTCTTAAAATGATAAATCTATGGTATCTAATTTTTTTATCCTCGTATATCACTAGTAAATGTAATTGATATGTTTATCATCTTTTATCTAATCAATAGACTAAAAATGATAAATCTATCGTATTTAATTTTTTTTTTATCGATAATTGTTTTCGTATTCATTTTTAAAAAGTCTATAATGATACAATATAAAAGTGGTATATTAGTTGTAACGATCCTAAATTTCTACATACTCAGAGTCTCTGCTAACGTCCTATGCTCATCTCTCATGCAGAAATATAACTCCTAAAAGAAAACGTCATCTATAGTATAAATGTCGAAAACATTAAAAACATTCTCTTCTCTTAAAAACACAGTCATGGTCTTGCGTGTTTAAATATGAAATACTAAAAAATTTAGAGAAAATAAAAACAAATACAAAATAATTTAAAACAATGCGATGCATAACAACCTATTCTAACCTAAAACTAGAAATTTAAATATGAATCTACCCTATGGACGTGCCACAGTCTCTGCTTGCGATGTCGTCGTCATCCGTACAAGTGACCTGAGTATTTTGAAGAATACTCAGTAAGTGACCCCACTATAGGGGGCCATGCAAATGCAAACACATGCAATCATGCTCTTGGGACATATCCCTATCTCATCTAGGGGTGGCCTCCAGTCTCACGCAACTATGGATGTGTAGTACTTCCCTACACACGACTCACACGTGCGAGTGTGAGTCCCTAGGTGGGCTCGCACACCCCCTGAACCCTCTCTAGTCACTAATCTGTAGCAACGCCTGGAGGTCAGCAGAGCCCCTAGTGTCTTGCACCTCATGAACACCCTCATCATTATACTATGCGCATCCCCACTCACCATCTGAGAGTGGTCCAAGTTCACCGATTCAATAAGCCTCCCATTTCAGGGGTAAGATTTGGTGAATAGATAGGGACAGGGGTGCAAGATGGAATTCACTCCTACCCGCTTTTAGGGACAGTAGAGAGGTTGTTCATTTAAGTACTGACTTGAGGTCTTGAACAAGGGGCCCCACCCTCTCGTTGGCCAGAGAGGGATTCGGTTTAGTAGTTGGACCACAAACAAATTGCTCATTAGAGGATGGGTGAGACTTAAAGAACAAGTAGTAACTTTAAGGGTAAAACGGTAAATTGACCCACCTCTAGTTATGAACAACCTTTGAAAGATGAACTTACTAATTATGGTTATATCAAATGGACAAAATTATATCTATAGTCAGGGGCGTGCAACTACTAGGCTATAGTGGAGTGTCCTGGTAGTTAACGAATGTTGGTTAACTAGGTTAATGAGTTTAGCCGGTTAATCTTTGATCGTTGGAGCCCATGATCTGTAGATCCATTAGGTACCCTTGCATGCTCATATCGAATTAAACATTAGAATAGTGTGACCAAAGAGTTCGAAGTGTTAGAATTCGAATTAGGGAATATGCGCTAAATATATACAATATATTTAACTGCATAAATTACGAATTAACACGAAGAAAGAGAATCGAAGAAATTTAAATAAGATTTAAATATTGAAATTATGGATAGGGATTCATAATCAATATGTGCCGGAATTGTTTGGGAATTGTGTTTGATTTAATGTTAAATATTAATTAAATTATTTAATTAATTATATAATTTAATTTAATTTGAAATTAATTATTTAAATTAATCGTTAAATTAAAATACAGAAAGTCAAAATGTTGACTCCACTTAATGAAAATATCTATGTTTGAGTTGGAATATTGAGTTTCAAGATATGGTTTAACCACATTTGCATGTTTGTCAAATAACCCCCACAAATTTAGGTGGAATTTGGTAATCTCAAATTTGCAAGAGCATCCAAATATGACTCTATAATTGGAGTAATCAAGTTACATGAATTTCTTTTTGAAATTTTTTTGAGAAAATCCCTCAATGGTCTCTTCACATATACTAAATTCTTTCCCAATTTAGTCACTGACTGGATTCCACAATTCCGTTCTAAGGTCGAAGAATGGTAGGGAAGACGCTAGTGGTGGTTCGAAATCGTTCGTGAGGAAGACGAAATTAAAACAAGAAAGGAATTTAAACTACAAAAGGTTACTACTCAAACTTCTTGAGTTTTAATACTTTTGAACATGCTAGCAAATTTACTAAAATTGATGTACTTAGAGTGCCTAACATCCAAATTGCTTTCACATGTGTGACATTAACCCCATCAAAAGGTTGGATCTTTGGGCTGAGGATTAAGGCTGCCTTATCACTATTAGAGCTTTGGAGAGTTGGGAACCCAAAGTTCATCTTTTCTAGAGCTTGTCTTGCCCAATGTTTGTCCTTTCTGACCGTTTTCAAGCTTTGAAGAGTGAGAAACCACAAGTTCATCCTTTCTTGAGTCTAGCTCAACGTTTGAACCAAACATTGATCCATTAGAAATTTGGAGGGCCACCAACCCAAAGTTCTCCCTTCCCAGAGTTCGTCTCAAAGTTCATGCCAGAGTTCGTCCAAACATGGACCCGTCCTAGCTTTGGAGGGCTAGAGCAAAAGTTTGCTTCCTTTAGAGATCGCCAGAACCTTGGGCCTAGTAAGTCTTCAAACGATTTTGAAATTAGAAGTTCGTCCTTTTTAGAGTTCTTCTTGACATTTGTGCCAAAGTTTATCGAAATATGGACTCGTTATAGCTTTTCGTGTTGGGAGCCAAAAGTTCTTTTTTTTTTTTTTTGGAGTCTATCTTGATGTATGGACCAAAGTTCTTCCAAGCTAGAGCTTCAGAGAGTTAGAAACCCTAAGTTCGTTTGTCCATCACACTGTCTCGACATTTGGTCCAAAATTTATCCAAATTTTGATCCGTTAGGCCATCTGCTCATTAGAGACACTACATACATTAAATCCAGCCTTGTTGTAGTTAGATACATAAGGCTTACAATCAATTGTTTATACATGGTAGCATTGATCTTGGCTCCTTCTTCATCCTTTGTTAGTCTAACCCCAGGAATAATAGGGTTTTTCACGGTATTACTTTTTTCCATCCTAAACTTCTCCAAAACTTCTTTGGCATACTTTCTCTGACTAATATAAATGCCTTCAGAATTTTGTAAAATCTCTACACCGAGAAAATATTTCATTTTTCCCAAATCAGCCATTTCAAATTCAAGTTTCATAGAATTCTTGAACTCAACAAACATGCTCTCATCATTAACAGTAAAAATTAGATCTTCAACATATAGACTAACAATCAAAATTTTACCTCCATCTCCTGTTTCTATGAATAAAGTATGGTCACAGTTGCACCTCTCAAATTCTTCTTTGACAAAATGTGCTTCAATTCGACTGTACCATGCACGTGGGGCATGTTTAAGGCCATATAATGCCTTTTTCAATTTGTATACCTTGTATTCTTGACCTTTTTTTCTCATAACCTTTTGGTTGCTCAACAAAGGCCATATAATGCCTTCTTCAATTTCACGTCAAGCTGATACACGTTCCAACTATTCCAAGCTGCTAAAGCAATTATCATTCGAATAGTACCCCACCTAGCCATAGGTGCAAACACCTCGGTATAGTCTATACCATGTTGTTGTGCATAACCTTTTGCTACCAACCTAGCCTTATACTTGTCAACTTCACCATTTTCGTTGAGTTTGGTTTTGAAAACCCACTTTACTCCAATCTTCTTCATTCCTTTAGGCAAATTTGTCAACTCCCAAGTCTCATTTCGTTCGATGGCTTCTATCTTGAAGTCAATTGCAGCTCTCCATTTTGAACTTTGAACAGCTTCTTCAAAGGTAGTCGGATCTGTAGTTGAGGTTAATAGAACTAAATTGTTGTGCTCAGCTTCTTCATAAAATTTTCCTCCACTTACATAATCTTTCATCCATAATGGTGCTCTTCTGTTCCTCACTTCGGTAGTGCTTTCTTCAGATGTTAAGGAATTTGATTCAGATGACTCACTGAAAGATATACTAACTTCCCCTTTTTCTTCTGCTATCGTCTCCTCTTAAGATTCTTCTTCACTTTGGTCATGTTTGCTTCCTTCTATATTACTATCTTCTCATTCGAGGGTATCAAGTCTAGATTCTTCATTAGTTTTCCCCCAATTCTAGCATTTGTTTTCTTCAAAAATCACATCTCTGCTTACAACTATCTTCTTGGACACTGGATCATAGAGTCTGTATGCTTTAGACTCTTCATTCATCCCTAGAAGCACACGCTGAAAACTTTTATCATATAACTTCTTTCTCTTACACTTGATACATGAGCATTCCCAATGCATCCAAAAACTCAAAAATAATCAACATTAGGTTTTACGCCACTCCAAGCCTCCTCAAGAGTCATATGTTTCACTGCCACTGTAGGACTTCTGTTTAGCATGTGCATTGTCCAGATTACTGCTTATGGCCAGAAATTCTTTGAAACTTGCTTCTCTGATAATATACTTCTAACCATGTTCATAATTATTCTATTCTTGCGCTTAGCTTCACCATTTTGTTGGGGAATGTAGGCGACAGTAAGTTGTCTACTGATACCATTAGTTTTGCAAAAATTGTTGAACTCATGAGAGGTGAACTGTCCACCCCGTCTGTGCGTAGACCACAAATAAAATCTCCAGTCTCTTTCTGAACAAGATTTTTTATATTCTTGAAGATGGTAAAGACTTCAGAGTTTCCAGCAAGAAAATATATCCACACCTTGCGGCTGTAATCATCAATAAAACTTATAAAATACCTCTTCTTACTATTGGAAAGAGGTTTAATGGGTTCATAAATGTCTGCATGTACCAGTTGCAGTCTTTGTGTTGCGCTCCATAAACTTCTCTTTGGAAATGCGTCCCTATGTTGCTTTCCCACCATGCAATCAGTTTAGGGGAGAAATTGTTAAAGATAGTCATACTAACTTATTCTCAACACCGCCATCTTGAAATTAATTTCAAGCTTCACAGATTGTCAGAATTCTTCGTCAAAATTTGAGAACCATTCCTTGTTTGCACACATATGATTGCTACACCCAGAATCAAGGAACCAAACATCTTCCCTCCTTGATTGATTGAGCTCCACATATGACATCAACAATATTTCTTCTTCATCCTCAAGCTGAGCATCATTTGCTTCCTTTTCCCATTGAGGACACTCATATCTAAAGTGTCCTAACTGATGACACTTATAACATTCAACGGTACTTTTGTTGAATGGATGTCTACCTCTTCCTCGAAAAACTTCACGACCTCGATCAACTCCTCTTCCACCGAATCTGGTATCATATGTCACCTTTAGTGCTTGTTCATCACTTACACGTCCATTCAGTCTTTGCTCATGTACCAGTAAGCTACTTTGCAATTCATTAATTGTTAAAGTGTCTAAATTATTAGACTCTTCAATCAAACATATAACATAGTCAAATCTTGATGTCATTGGTCTCAAGATTTTTTCAATAATCACAACTTGTTTTATGTCTTCGCCATGAATTTTCATATTATTTGTAATGGTGTGAGTTGGAGAAAAATATGCATCAACACGCTCACCTTCTTTCATTTGTAGGACTTCAAACTCTTTCCTAAGAGCTTGGAGTTGAGCTCTTTTGACTCTTGTGGAACCCAGGTACTTCTGCTTCATAGAATCCCAAATTTGTTTTGCAGTATCTCTATTAAGGATCGTTTCCATAATAGTTCGATCAATGGCTTGGAACAAATAATTCTTGACCTTCAAGTCTTTCAGCTTTTGGTCTGCAATTGTTTTTTGTTGTGCTTCGGTAATCTCTACTCCTTCTGCTGCGGCAGGGATTTCGGTCTCCACCAAAGATCAATATTCCTTTGAAGAAGAAAATTTTTCATAAGCATAAACCAATAATCATAATGGCCATCAAACTTAGGAATTTCCGGTTGACGAACTTGATTTCAACTACCATATTTTGAATCTCTTTCAGCTCACTCTTTAAAGAAAAAAACTGAAGTTTCTTCTTCTCACAATCAGGCCTTGCGATGTGGCTCTAATACTTGAAAACCTTAATTTCATTATTTGAAGAGAGAGTTTTGTCTGAACTTTGACTCGTTAGAGCTTTAAAGAATTACAAACCCAAAGTTCGTCCTTACAAGAGCTTGTCTCAACGCTTGTGTACAAGTTAGTCCGTTTCAGAGTTTGGACAATAGTTCGCCCAAAGTTCGTCCTTTCAGACCCTTTTCAAGCTTTAGAGAGTTAGAAACCCAAAGTTTGTCCTTTCAGGAGGGCTACAAAATGAAAAGTTTGCCCTACCCAGAGTTCATCTAGAAGTTCATGCCAAAGTTTGTCCAAACTTGGACCCGTTAGAGCTTTGGAGGGCTAGAGACCTAAAGTTTGCTGCCTTTAAAGTTCGCCAAAACCTGGGGCCTATTATGTCTTCGGATGGTTTTGAAATAAGAAGTTCATCCTTTTCAGAGTTTGTCTCGATTTTGTGTTGAAGTTCGTCGAAACGAAGACTTGTAAGAGCTCTATTGTGCAAAAGTTTATTTTTTTCAAATCCTGTCGAAGCTTTGGAGGGCTAGAGACCCAAAGATCATTGCCTTCAAATTTCGCCAAAAACTTGGACTTGTAAGTCTTTGGAGGGTCTTGAAACCAGAAGATTGTCCTTTCTAGAGTTTGTCTTGACAGTTGTGCCGAAGTTTGCCGAAACATGGACTTGTTTGAGATCTATCGTGCTGAGAATCAAAAGTTCATTTTTTCCACAGTTTGTCTTGATTTTTGGACCAAAGTTCTTCCAAAACAGAGCTTCAGATTGTTAGAAATTAAAAGTTCATCCTTCCGTCATACTATCTCAACGTTTGGTCCAAAGTTCGTTCAAATGTCGATTCGTTTGGCATAGAAACCTGAACTTCGTGGTTTGAAGAGTCTGTTTCGTCTAGAATTTGACCTGTTAGAATTTTAGAGAGGTAGGAACCCAAAGTAAATCCTTTCCAGAGCTTGTCTCGACGCTCGTGTACATGTTAATCCTTTCTAGACTTCGGATAGAGATTTGTCCAAATTTCATCCTGTCTAACCCTTTTTTAGATTTGGTGAGTTAGAAACCCAAAGTTTGTTCTTTTTGGAGTCTTTCTTAGCGTTTGGACCGAACTTTGACCCATTAGATGTATGGAGGACCGCAAACTCAAAGTTTTCCCTTCCTAGAGTTTATCGTCGATATTTTGGAGAGGTCTCCCAGTTCATTTTATCATCCTAAATAAAAGGTTCGAGCCAGTCAGAGAGTACACTTTCTAACGTCTCAAGGCCAAAATTTTGGTTGATTTGCTCGGACTCTTTCCTCCTAATTTAAATTTTTAGAAAGCGTTCAAAGTTAGTATGTATGACTACCTTCTAGCTAGTTAAATTTTTTTAATCGAGTTTAAATTATCTAAGTATGATGAGGCCTAATTTAAATTATTAGGAGTCAGTTTCTATGCGGCATTGGGCTTAGTTTAAATTATTGGGACTAAGTTTCTATGCAATATTGGACTTAATTTAAATTATCGGGAGTAAATTTTTATGCATAATTAGACTTAAGTTAAATTTTTGGAATCCAATTTAAATCATTTATGCGTAATTAGGCATAGATAGTTTAAATCATTAGGAGTAAATTTTTATGCATAATTAGATTTAGCTAGTTTGTGCGTTATGAAACGTTATGTTGAAAGCATGAAAATGTTACGCTATGTCTTGTGAATTGCATGTATAGAATGATTTGAATTACATGAAGAACGATAAATAACATGAAATATAATCCCGATATAAGCATGAACGATGTGATAACTGATATGAGAAATGGTATGATATCAATGAAATGATAGCGGGAGTTATATTTAATAATGTTGAAAATGGAAAAATATTGGGACCTCATGCATTAATGTGCGCTCATGCATTCGGGGATACCCATATTCCTTCACGATAGTATGGGCGCGTACACCACAAGGTAGGATAACTTTCATTATGTTTTACGTAATGGTGCCATGACGGCTACCGTTTCTAACAAGTATCCGACATAGAGAGCTACCAGAGCTTGCTAGCTCAACAAGGAAAGGAGCCAGGGGTGTGCCAACCTACTGTGGAGATTGTACAATCAATCTCCTACTTCGTCCTAAGTTGTTAATAACCGCTTAATAACAAATCTAAACTTATTCAAATAAAAAATTACTCAATAATTATCCTAAAATTGCTATTTGTTTTGCTAAATGAAGCTTATTAACTCACATTGGAAAAGGACAAACTTTGAGTTTCAAACTCTCCAAAGCTCTAACAAGTAAAAATCCAGACGAAATGGTTTCTTCAAACCACGAAATTCAAGATTCTAAGCCTAACGGATCGTATTTTGTTTGAACTTTGGACCAAACGTTGAGACAGTGTGAGGGATGGACGAACTTTGGGTTTCTCACTCTCTGAAGCTCTAGTTTGTAAGAGTTTGGAAGAACTTTGGTCCAAACACCAGACTCTGGAAAAAATGAATTTTTGGCTAACCAGTGCCAACAATGCTGAATTTGCAAAGTTAGAGGTCCGATCCTACAAACTTTCACAAATAAAGCTAACTTAAGGAATGATTCCAACCAAGAGTTTAGATGAATAACTGTTGCATCTAACTTTGAATATATGATCTCTCAGATCCTAACTCACACCAAAATTAGAAAGATAACACATAAAGGTTCCAAGAAACATAAGGCTTTTCTATTAAAAAAATGATTATTAAACTTAAACATTACATGCCTTTAAATAGTAAAAAATGATTAACCAAACATAATAGTAGTTGGTTACCAAGGTCTTTGAATTAAAAGCTATTAAATGAGAAAGGAAGAAAATAAGGCCTATGACATAAATAGTCTTAAATGGAAGTTCTACTACGAAAGATAAGAATTCTTCGAAGTAGTTTCTGAAATCAAGTGGT